TAGTAAATTAACTGTAAGTTCCCCAAAATTAAATTCCGAGAAAATTTAAATAAATGGCCAAATTCCTTTTGTTTCTTTTCTCTTTTACCATTTTTTAATCTTTTTCTATGTTTTTAATTTCATTGCCGGGAACATAAAATAACAAGGGTATTCCCCCTTGAATTGAATGTCGTAAAAAATAAAGAAATTAAGGGATATTATGTTTTTCCCTTCTTCCCTACTGGTCGTAATCCCTTTTCCCCATCTTTAATTATGGTACTAAAATAGATAAAAATTTGAGGCCTCATTTCGGCCCCGGTCATATGCCGCAAAAAATGTGGTTGCAAGGTCAGTTCCCGCGATGCCTCTCCGCGGCAGGCCAATCCGGGTCTAACCCTCTAAACGGTTGGAAATGACGGTCCGTTGATGTGCCGAGTGCGACCACCCATCTCGCCATCTTTGAGGGTTACCCGTAAGGTTCAGCGTGCCCAAAATCAAGGGCGCCCTGAGCTCCCCTAATTTCCGCTGCCTGGTCTAACCAGAGTACCGTCAAAACTCAGACTCGTCTTTGCGCCTAAGTCCCAAAACCGTAGATTTCAGGCGGCGCACTGCTTGTGGCCGCCTGACAACAGTGTTAGCAGTCCCATTTCGTCTTTAGGATCTTTCACACATGTATGTATAAGTTATTTTACGTTATTTTATTTTTGTTTTTTTTCTTTATTTTTATTTATTGTTCTCATTACTATCCGCGGTCCCGTTCTGATTCAAGGGGCGAGGTATCGCGGCTGGCGGTCCGAACTTGGAAGAGCGACGGGTGGGGTACCACCGCGATTTGGTCCTCGAGGCATTCGGTAGTCCTCGGCGGGGAGGGTGAGGAGAGGATCTGGTCTCGGGTCCCGCCCGGGTTAGGCGAGGGCAGGAGCGAGTGGCGGGGCTGGCCAGCCGGCGTAGCACGGTTAGGGGAGGTGTGATAGTGTAGCGGAGTGGCGGGCGTCGTGGGGAGCAAGCGGACTCGGGCTCGGTATTGCGCCGAGGGTACGCGGTGGCAAAAAGGGGGCCAGAGGGACAGTGCGCGCAGCACCGGGATCGTGCGGACAGACAGGCCGGGCGGAGCCCAGAGGGTGCGGCAGGGTACTAAGCCCGGGCGGCGGTTTCGACTTGGCCGCGGCGGGCAGCGACGGGCGGAGGCGACAGCAGCGAGCTGGTTGGAGAGTAGCGGAGCTCGTTGTGCAGGAAGAGGGTCTGGCCTCGGGTCCCACCGGGTTCAATCGAGAGCGGGAGTGAAAAGAGGAGCTGGCCAGCCGGCGCGGTCCTTGTGCGGGGGCGGATGGATGAAGTTGGGGAGGCCGATACCCGGGCGTTTGACTACGGCATTTGAGTACTGCCCGACCGATTGCTCGGCGCTCGGGGCACCGGTGGTTGGGCTGCGAGGAGTTGAGGTTGACGACAACAAGGAGGGGAGATGAATCGGGGTGCATTTTTGCACTGGATTCGTTAGGAGAAACGACGATGGAAGGATGAGTCGGACGGAGCCCAAAGGCTGTAGCGCCCTCGATCCTAAACAGAATCGAGAAGGGAGAGAGGCGAGGTGGGGGTTTTCGAACGAGGCGACATCGATTCTAATGCTACTTTTACGGATAGGTTAGTTAGTTAGGCAGTTAGTAGGATTGAACCTGCGCGGAGTCATAACGAAGTGGGAGGAGCGGTCGAGGCGACTGAAAATTTTGCGTGTCGAAAGGTTTCGATAGTCGGGGCAGTCAGTAGAGATGTGGCTTGCGCTAAATGTTGTCGGGAAAGGGGTGAACCCGGGTGCGGAAACAGGTAAGATGCACGCGGAGTAGAGGGTGGTCGAAGAGGCATTGGGGAAGGCGACGGGGGTAGCGGAGCAGTAACGGGGGCAGGCGAACGGGGATGGTACCTGGCGCGGGGCATACAAGGGGCCATGATGAGTGACAGCGTAGGCAGCGGGCACGAATGGGGTGAGGAAGCGAGCGCTGGCGAATGGTTGCTCGGTGCCGAGCAGAGGCAACGAAGGGGGTAGGATGTGCCTGGGCAGGTTGTCACGGTAGGTACATCCGTGAGAGAGGGGGTTGGGCGAAGGTAGTGATGGGGCGGAGTGCTAAGGAAAATCAGCGAGGCGGACTAAGGAGCAGCCGATAGTGATACGGGACTTAATGTGCATGCCGGGTGTGCACAGACAGAGGAGGGGAGGTTGGAAACGGCGGAGAAGAGAGTCGGGCGCAGTTGGGGGAATGTAGCTCGATCGATTCTTAATGGAATCGACCGGGAAAACTTGCTATCTGAGGGATCTGTGGCTGGGCGAGCGTGATAGTCAGATTAGGACCAGTGTTAGAGTAGTGGAATATGAGTCGGAGGTGAAAAAGGTTCGCTGGGCTATGGCGGAGTGGGAAAAGGAGTAAAAGAGGGGGGTGGGATTCGCTCACCTTTCCTCGTTCTGAGTGAGTAGCGGGGCCAGAACGAGCCGAGACGAGGGTGCTTATCTGACTCGAGTGTATCTGGCTTATACTCCTGAGGAAGGGCTCCCGCCTCCTCTCCACCTGCGACGTGATCCCGAAGGAGCACCCCATTGCGATTGCCGAAGCTTCGCCTGTTTGTGAGCTCGCTGGTCCACGGCCCCRCTGCAGTGGGAGATTCCTGTGAGCTGCTCAGTTTGGCTATGGGTCGGACTTAGGCCTGGCCGAGGGGTTATACCTCAGGGCAGCTTTGTGTGCCATYAGGCCTTGTTTTGTCAATCGGGCCTGGCCGGGGACTTGCCCGGGGACTGTATACGCAGGAGCTCCGTGCGGTCTCAGCCGAGATCCGCAAAGCAAGGACGGGGACTGTAAGCCAGGAGGCTTACTTGGTGGCAGGCGCGCCGCTCGTTGGAACCAAGGAGAGTAAGGCAACATTGAGGGTGGTCTGTGAGACGTCAGGACTGTCTTCTCGCTGGGCAGGGCGGCAACGACGAGGTCTGTTTGGTTGCGAGCCTGAAGACGGGCTGGAGTGACCGCGACCAAGGAGGGAGGGGCGTGTTGGCTGTTGAGACGAACCATACGGATTACCGACAGTCTGCTATGGTTGGGCCCGCTGTTCCTGCTGAATTTCGTCGTAGGTGGCCAGTTGTGTGCTGAGCACCGCCGCTGTGTTCTGCCCAACGGGGGCTTGGATGCGAGCTGTGCATTTTTGCTACGACTGTTGCATTTGTGTAGAACAGCGGTGGGGTGGTGTTGTGCACGAAGTGCTTGACTGAGGCTGCTACGCTATTTTGGCTGCGGCAGTTTGAGGGCCGTATAGTTGTAGCGACACCTTGGAGGAGCGAAGGCGTAGTGTGGAGGAAGGTGTTGTTGCTGCGATTCGGGAAGCCGTCAGGTGTTTGACTTTGGGTAGTTTGACTCAGTCTGGCCGAGCTGTTACACTGGTTGCCATTGCGGGGCCCTCAGGCGAGTGAAGGTATCAAGTCCCTCTCCTGCGAGTCGGAGTGCACCTCTCTTGTATCTGAGAGACTAAATGCCTCTACTTCTGCCCTTCTTACTCTAAGTCTAGTCCATTGGTTCTGAGAGGAAGGCGGCAGGCGGGATTGCAACCCGTAGGACCGCAGCAAGACTCTGTGGGGAGTCAGCCCACCGATTGCGGGAGCTCTGCCGGAGCCTAGGCGAGGCTCTGGAGGCAGGGAATTGAAAGGTAACSRTTTGSTTTCCCTTTATATACCCTGATATAACCCCTACTTGTACGTCTTGCTATGGTTGACTGAGTATACTGTATGTACCCCTATTTTGACTTTGGATTGACTGGCAGGACACAAGTYAGACTAAATAAAGGAATGTGTGTGCAATCGAAGTCTCAGTTTGTTGATTGCCTGAAGGCAGATTGTGAACACAAGGGGTTGCGTCTGGGAGAAGGGGTGGGTGAAAGGTGGTTTTGCCTGAGGTTGACAGGGTCCTATAGGGTCAGACCAGTTCCATAAGATTGGACGGYCTGACSGCTGTGTTTTATTTTTGARTTGCCTAGAGGATCAGACCAGTTMTATAAGATTGGACGGTCTGATTGCTCTGAACTGTGAGGGTTGACTGTGGTTGACTTTTCAGGGGYCAAGCCTGTAYCATAARATTRGAGGGTTTGRTTGCCATGTTTGTTTGGGTTTGTTCTGTTTCTTTTGTTTCTGATCGAGGAGGTCTKAGCAAGTCCATAAGATTGGACGGCTCARCCCCCTCTTGTTTTATTCTGAGGGGATAATTTTTGCTGAGGGCAGGGCATGTCCATAAGATTGGACGGTCTTGGACTCATGCCGCACAWAGTGGATCAGAGAGCAACGAACCTGGCATAGAACCATATGTGCTCCATAAGATTGGACRGTCTGGCCCAATGCCTCGCACATGCTGGAACCCRAAGGGTTAAATTTTGGCTMTRTTTTAKACTATCCTATTTATGAACAGGCTAGTCAGRCATGGGTTCCATAAGATTGGACGGCCTCACTATAGCTTATCATAAAATGAAGAAAGTATAATTAAGAGTATAATTAAAGGTAACCCTGGGCAGGCCGGGCCTTGTTCTAAGATGAACGGCTCGGTCCTATGCCCAACTTTTGAATACCAAGCTCAGAGAGGTATATATAAGTTGGATATTAAACAGTTTTGGGCGACTAAGCCTTGTTCTAAGATGAACGGCCAAGTCATATGCCCAAAAAGAAGAGAGAAATAGTTGTGCAACCTGTTCGTGTATACTCAATGGGTGAGTCAGGCAAGTTCCATAAGATTGGACGACTTGACTTTATGCCCTATGTAAGCTGGGTATAAGGGGATAAAGCATTGAGAAGTTAACAACTATTGTTTGCAAAGATTGATTTGAGGTGGCGAGAGTACTTACCTTTGTGGTTTGGCCTGCATGAGGTTGAGTGAGGTTACTACTTGGTTTGAGTGTCAGGTTGACAGGTAGTTGCTTTAGAGGCTCGCCTCGTGCTAAAGCGATAGGAGTCAGGTCAATTCCTACATTTTCTGAGCTAAGTTTTTACTTAGATCGATTCTCGCATTTTGTGGGATCTTTTATTATACTTGGCTTTGTATGAATTTTTGTAAGCCACTTTCTCTACGGGAAGCGCTGCCGAAATTTCTACAAATCCGGGGAGTTAGTCAATTCTTGACTTCTCAAAGTTCAACCTGTCKAAAMTTCATGTATGGCTTAGTAAAAATYTGRAAAGTCTCCTTTTSTAAAGGGAGTGCTGCCCAAATTTTTGCTAATTCAGGGAGTTAGACAAAATTGGACTTTGGAAAGTCAAAGACTATTTCTGTTCTCATATTCGGGATGATATGAATTGTGAAAAGGCACTTTTCCTACGGAAAGCGCTGTCGAAATTTTCTTGATTTAGAGGAGTTAGGTTATATTATGACAGATGGCGATTCTAGCGATCCACTCTGAATAGGGGAGATCCTGCCGTTAATCTACCTTTGCTTGCGCACTGGCTTAGGGGTAGATTTTGATTTAGTTGGTAGGTAACTTGGGTGAGAATGTGCTATGGAGGGTCATCCCCCGTATGCTGATRATTTAGCTTGGGCATTGACGTGTCTTATGGAACAGGCCTTTCGTGGACATTCGATTCAGGAYTTGGGCTAGTTCAGTTTGATCCTKCAAGGATCATCATCTGTTATCACTGATATCACTGATAACRGGTMGGTTGCCKATTCGTCGGCTCACGACTCRATTCCTACTCGTTCCCCATACTCAACCTAARAGGCTTTAGCCCTGRTGATTTTTTTTTTTTTTGTTAAGTCTTTCACCCRGATTTTTATTGAATGACCATTTAACAAAGGTACTGAGTATTTAATWRAGGTTGATTGCTTGGAAGTTGGGGTTTGCATGGCTAAAGCGAGGRGTATGAGTATAGGAACTGGTTGGAGTTGACTTCGCRTWGTGTGTTRACTTTTGTCTGACTTTTRATGTGATTGCAGGTATGTTCAAAGACTTGGGGTTTTGGTTGGGCTGCCTTGCGATCACATATATATGTATGGCTAGGAGGAGGCCCACTATGACTGTGAGAAGGGATCGTCACATAATTATTCCCCTTGTGCATGTATATATATATATATATATATATATATATATATATGTGCCAGTACATGTGTACCTACGTGTGGAGCTAGTGTGGCCTGAAGTGCCCGCGTACTAAGGATCAGTCGAAGGGGATATCCCTCGCTAATTCTTGTTTTTTTTCCTCGTTGCGATTTACCTTCGTGGAACGATAAAGTTCCGGGCGGAAGGGTCAGTGTGTTGCTGGTGATGCGCCAGACAACTCACTACCGCTTCAAACTTCCTCCTGCCCTAGGGGTCGTCTTGCCCCGCACCCGTTGCGACACCTCAGGGTGCTGAAGACGGAAAAACCCTCAGGTCGGTTTTACGCGCGCTAAAGGGATTACGGTCATCGGCTCACGCTTCAGCCAACGCCTGAGCGTCGAAAGGTGACCCTTTGGCTCAGAATAGGCCATTTGGGTGTGGGCACTACACAATACGCCGTCATCGCGGCTACTCGTGTGGAAGTGCATAGCGAGATAGTATGTGTAACTCCAGCGCCCTCGCGATCTTATACTAAGTTCGTGCGCGACACTCGTCGCATCCCGCACTAAAAGAGTTATGGATCAGGCGGCGAGATCACGAGCGCGACACGGCCACTAAACTTGGGGTCTTGGTAACATGAAGCGGCACGTGGGTGGAGGACTAGCTCCGGTCAGCCTTTGGGGGTCCGTGCACGGACCTCATTATCCCGGACGACGGGTAGCCTATGGATAGGATACCGGACCTCCTCCGTGCGCGCGTTGTTTGGGCTTATCCACCCCCTTTCCATTTTAGAGGGCCAATAGCTAATGGGGGTCGGAGTGAGTCTCCTTTCTTTTGCGTTTTCATGGTTGGACGTTATAGTCCGTGGCGGCGGTCAAAGTCAAACCCCTTGATGTTTGACTGCCACGACAGCTTAAAGCTGTCTACTCAACCCCTCTGCGCAGGGTGCAGAAGAGGGTGTGGTCTTCAACCGCGCACAGCGGTTATCTAGCGTCGAGAGATTAACCCTCAAGGCGCGTGTCAGCCGACACTTGAGTGTCGCATGCGACCCTCAAGAGTAACGAGGACCGCGTGAGTATTGGTACTACATAGTACGCCATCACTGCGACCGCGTGCGTGCGTTTGCATTGCGAGTCGACATGAGTTAGCCCTGCGTCCGCGCGACTTCTATATTGAGTCTCGCGCGACGTCTATCTGATTTCTGCATCAGGAAGTTATGGGTTGGCTACCGAGGGGCTAGGAGCGTTGTCGCGTTGTTCGCGTTGTGTCGTTTCGTATGTGTGTGTGCGTGTGTTTTATTATTTTGTTCATGAGGCGGTGTGCGCATGGTGTGTGGGATGCGTCCTAGTTGACCGACGACGAGCCTCGCTTGGGACTCCAACCCCCAAGATGTCGGTTCGCGTGCGAGTCCGATAGGCATATTACCGCGCGTACCCCCTATGCTACAGCGAACGAGAAATGCCCTCGGCCGGTCCACCTCTGCGAGTGCAACCGAGTAGCTTTCGTACTGTGGACTGGTAGCTCGGCGGGGATACGCCCACCGAAGGGAGGTGACAGCTCCCGTAAGGTGGAGGTAAGTTTTGCCTCGCGTAGGCCCTATCCTGTCGTAGGGGCTCGCGAGAGGTATGGCTGGCGCACTCGGCCGGAGCGGCCTAAGGAAGCTCCATGCGCGTGTTCGTTTCGAGGTAGGTCCAACTCCTGCGTGACGCGGCCGAGAGGGTCCCGCGCTGCCACGTGGGGTGCCGGACTGATGCGCTCGACAGGTGGCGCCGTTGCCGGGGATGACGAAAACCTACCGTTGTCCCTGGTGGAATGACATCCGGGTATGAGAATGATAGAGAACTAGGCACGTGAGCAAATAAGAGAAGAACTATGAGATAGATCGTATAGTAGTCTATATGGCTGTGTGGGTGTGAATGTTGATATGATTGGTGGTTTGGTTGATGGCATGAACGAGGCGAGTATGTGAGTGAATTCTGTGATGAGAATGGGTCTTACTTAGGTGAACCCAAGGGAGGTAGGAAGTAGAGAGAGAAATGTCTGCCAGGTCCAGAGCGTCGGGTGTTTAGGTGGTCGGTCCGATAGGATCGTGAAGGAATGGGCTGCTGAGTGGAACCTTTCGTCCTATCGCTTCTTATAACAGGGGGATTGAAGCCGAAGGCAGCTAATCAAAATGCCTGAGGAGATGGCGGACGGTGGGAAAAAGCTTGTAACGCTCGACGACCTCATCGATGCACTGGATAAGCGCGAGAGAGCGCCGAGCAATGTCCCGAAGGTCGATACATTCCACTTCAAGGGATAACGGGTGTCCGACTGGCTGGACCTGACGGAGCAAGCACTGGTGGGGCTGTCAGACGAGGTCAAGCTCCAGCGAGTCCTAAGATATGTCCTTCATAGCCACCATCAGGAAGTGGGCAAGGTCGTGGATGCCGCCAATGGTAGTTGGGCGAGGTTCAGGGACATGATGCAGAGAAAGTACAGGTTGGGGGATGGCTTGTTAACCATGGCGGATTTGGAGGCCATGAACAAGGATGACTTTTCCACGATTGGGGCGTTTGTGCACGAGTTTAAAAGGAAGGCGCGAAAGGTGCACGGGATCTCCGAAGAAACGCAGTGTGCCATATTTTTGGGTCTGCCTACTGGCTCGGAGGCCTCGAAGCTGACGGGTCACGGAGGGGGAAATGAGAAACTCACCTGGGCCACTATCGACAAAGGGGTGGAAGAGGGGAACCTGGACCAGGTGGAGCAGCACCAGATGCGGCTGCAAAGGCGCAAGAGAAATGAAAGGGACGCCACCGCGTCCGGGACCCCAGGGGTGAAGAGGATCGTCACGGACGTATTGGCAGCGCTGGGGTATGACAATGAGGTGGAAGTGCAGAAGAGGGGGGTGACCGTGGCCCAAGGCCGGGCGTTGGGGCCAGTGGAAGAGGAGGCTAGGCGCGAGGACTATGGCAGAGAAGAGACGGGCTCCCAGATTCTAACCAAGGCCCAGAGGAAGCAGCGGAATTTACAAGTGGGGGGTCAAGGATCCGGAAAAGGGCAGGTCCCGCAAACGATTGCTGCGCCGCCACCTGCAGCCACGACAACGTCAGCGACGGCCGGGCCGTCATGTATGGGGCCGGCGCCAGCTTGTGGGCACTGGGTGCCGCATGTCAGCCTGCATCCTGGCCCAGTTGTAATCACTGCACCTCATGCGGGGACAGTCAAACTCAGCCCGGGCAAATGGTCCCTTATGCAGGCCCAGCGGCAAGTATGGGGCCCCCGAGCTATCCTGCGGCCCAGGGTCAGTTTGTGGCCCAACCGCCTCCCTCCCAACAGGCCTCGCAGGCTAGCGTGGCTGGTGGAGGAAACCAAGGACTAGGCGGACAAGGCAATGGAGGCCGAGGTCAAGGGGGTGGAGGAGGTGGCGGCTGAGGCCGGCGAGGAAATAGTGGGGGTCGTGGAGGTGGTTGGAATGGTCAAAGGGGCCAGAACCAAGGCGGCCGGGGCAGCCACGACGGGAGCCAAGGGTATGGGAGGCCCCGCTTTGATTGGCGAAATGCCACCTGTTGGCATTATGGCGATGTAGGCCACACTGTGCGGTTCTGCGAGTGGTGGCGGGAGGATGTATGGACGGGGATATATATGACAAGTGGGGTGAGCATATCGACCCCAGGACCCCGGGAGGAATAAGGCAAGAGGCTCTCCGGCGGGCAGCAGCGGGACCCTTAGCACCCCCGACAATGTTTAGGATGTGGCAGGAGAAGGAAGAGCCGACCGTAAGAGTCGAGGAGATTGTAGGGGATAGTGAAGAGGTCACTCAGCGACTAAAGACGGGGACTATAAAGGAGGAGCCAATAGTCGTCGAATCGGATGACGAGGGGCAGGAAGGCGAAGGAGAGCCGACCATAGTCCTCCTGGGGAGGATGGAAGATCTGCTGGAAAATGTGGGAAAGTACCAGCGGAAGTTGCAAGCTCTGTGTGAAGAAGCGTGAGAATGGGAGGCCAATCTGCCTGAGGTCTTCCTCTATGACTCCGGACTTGAGCCTTCGCCAGGCCAACAGGGGTACCCAAGAGTGGCGACTGAAGGGATGGGCCCTAGGTCAGGTATGGCCTATAGACCCCCCACGTCGCATGGGAGGGTGCCACAGGCGGCTCGGACTAGGAGCCAAAACAAGGTCGGGCCTAGCCAAGAGCCCATTCAGGCACCCTCTCGAAAGGAGCCGGAGCCAGAACGCAGGAAAGAGGTGGTGGAGGTCCCGGAGGAAGAGGAAGAGGATGACGATAAAGAGGATGAGAGGCTCCGACAAAAGGAGGATCAGAGGGCGGAGCTGAGGGCCAAAAAGAGAGGAGCCCGGGAGGAGGTCGAGCCAAGCCTACCTGACAGTGTACGTAAGAGGAAGAAGTACGCGGTCCGGATGGAGGAAGGTTTTGATGTGGAACGGATGGTGGACAAGCTCCTGGAAGGCCATAATGACTTAATGAACCTGAAGGATATCCTGGCGTCGGCGCCGAGGCTCCGTGGGGAGTTGAAAGGGCGACTCTCGCGAAGGCTTACGGTCCTGCCTAGAGAGGTGGAGTGGACTGAGGCAGGGACAAGGATGAATTGGAAGTATGTGGCGTGCGGGCAGGTGGATTTGGTGATAAGAAACCAGAAGTGTACTGGGATGGTAGACACGGGCGCAGAGATGAACATCATCAGGGAGAAGGAGGCAGTGATGATAGGCATGGAGATCGACCACTCGGACCATGGTATGCTGCACGACGCTAACTGCAAGGCCGCCTTTTGCGGCACAGCGTCAAATGTGATTATAGAGATTGGGAAGGTGCGAGCCAGGACCTGCTTTTTCGTTATGCCTGATGTCGATCACCCCATCCTTCTGGGGCGGTCGTTCCTGTGCCGAACGAAAATGTTGATCTTCAACAAGCACGACGGAACAATGATCCTGCTCCTGTGCGACCCGACGTGTGGGAATTATGAAGTTATCACCTGCCGGAACATGGGACCGGGGAGCGGGAGGAATAGGCCCAATCTAGGCTCGTTCACCTTTGAGGAGTCAGAGAACGAGCAGAGACGGCTCTGGGAAGTGCCCGAGGAGGAGGATAAGGCTGAGGTGCTGAGACTGAGCCTCACAGATGTGAATAAGGCCATGGAGGTGGTGTCGGCTCATGACATGGCGGATCCGGAGGCCATTAAGGCATTGAGGGAGCAGGTTTTGGAGAACCCTCAAGTGGGAGAGGTGGAGTTGGTGTATCGGTTTCCAGGAGGGGGAGGAGGCCCTGCAATGGCCCAGGCCCGAACGACAAGTCGACCTTTTTTAGGGGAGGGCTTAAGCAGGGCTCCCAAAGGCGGTACAAGACCGTAGATAAGAAGTGCCGCCCAGTTCCCGTGCTCGTCACGGAGGATGAGGAAGCCTACTACGAGCGGGAACGAGGATTGATACGGTGTATGCGGGAGCACGCGTTGGCCGTGCCGTGCCGTATCAACGACGAGAATGAGGGGAAGTTGATAATCGGGAAGCCCAACTTCCTGTCGCCCCAGGAAAGAGCGTTGATGCTGGGGATGATGAAGGAAAGGCACCGCGCGTATGCTTTCAATAATGATGAGCGTAGGAGGCTGGATGTGGACAAGATCCTGATGATACGAATCCACACCGTTCTGCACGAGCCATGGAATTTAAGGGGCGCGCGGTACCCCAATCTGGACGAGGAAAAGATGGTGGTGGACTACCTGGACGGCAAGATGCGGATGCATGTGGCCGATTATTCCAGTGGGCCGTACGCGTCGCCTTGGTTTTGTTTTATTAAACCAAATGGGACGCTAAGGTGGGTGCAAGACTTGCAACGGCTAAATGCGGTGATAGTGCGGGACGCAGGAGGATTGCCGAACGCGGACGCATTGTCAGAATCGTGCGCAGGGAGGCCTATAATTTCGCTTATAGACCTCTACTCGGGGTATGACCAATTCCCTGTATACCAGCCAGATAGGCCCGTAACGGCAATGCACACTCCCAAAGGGCTGATTCATATGAACGTGGCGCCTCAAGGTTGGACGAATGCAGTGGCGATGGTGCAAAGGCATATGATCAGAGTCATGCAGACGGTCAGCCCACATATCACTCAGCCATATATCGATGACCTGCCGGTCAAAGGTCCGAAGGAGAAGGAGGAAGATGAAGTGATGCCCAGTGTACGGCGCTTTGTCTGGAAGCATATCCAAGACATCGATCAGGTTCTGGGGTTATTGGAGGAACATAACCTGACGGCGAGCGGCCCCAAGTCGAAACATTGTATGAGGGAGGCCACGATTCTAGCATGAGAGTGGGCGGAGGCCTGACGTAAAGAAGACAGATAAGATTCTTGAGTGGCCAATGCCCTTCCGCTGGATAACGGATGTGAGGAGCTTCCTTGGGACGTGCGGATTTTGGAGGAGCTTCGTAAAGGACTTTGCCACGAAGATGGAGCATTTAAGGAAGTTGGTGCGCCGGGATCAAGAATGGGTCTGGGGCGAAGACCAGGAAGAGGCTGTCGGTAGGATGAAGGGAGAGTTTAAGGAAGGAGGCTTGGTATTGGGAGCGCCAACTATGAGGTCACGGAGGAAAAAACATTCGTCATTGAGACGGACGCTAGGCCAACTGCCTTGGGAGGGGTCCTGATTCAGGCAGATACTGAGGGGAAGGAGAGGCCGCTAAGATTCGAAAGTCGTACCCTCAATACAACTGAGAGGAACTACTCTCAGTTCAAAAAGGAGACGCTGGCGGTACTTCATTGCCTAAGGACCTTCCGGAACTATGTTTTTGGCAGGAGGCTCATCTTGAGGGTGGACCCTACTGCACTGGCGTGTTCCCTGAAGAATTATACTCCATCTGACCCAACCGTCGCAAGATGGTTGACCTTTAATTTCGAGTTGGAAAGGATCCCAGGGAACAAGAACAGGGCAGATGGGTTAAGCCGCATCAACTGGGACGGATCGGACGAGGAATCGATAGAAGACACACCGCCAGTTGATGGGTTTCTGGATCAAAAGGAGGACGTTCGCCTGCACATAAACGAATGGTCCTTGCGAGTGCCCAGTTGTGTCAGCCACCCCATATGGTTGGCAACAAAGGGGTACGAGCAGAAGGAAGGGTTAGTCCTCAAACCCTTTCAGGAGGAGGATCCGTGGGGAAGTAAGGATGTTGGTTGGATGATGAAGTTGGCGTTGGCAGGTACGCACAATCTGGTGGAGGAAGTGAGGACAATAGAGGAAGGCCCCGCTCAGGTAGAGGAGCATGAGCAGCTAATGGGAGGGATGTACCTGCTCACCAATACGCTCCTGCAGGGAGACTTCGATCGGAAGGGCTCATTCAGTCAAGAGGAGGATGAGATTCTGGTTCCTGAAAGCCTAGATGACGAATTCGAGGAAGGAGAAATCAAGGAGGCGTTTCGGGCGGAGGAGTACGATGGGATCTACATGGAATTGGGGTTGCTCCTATCATGTGAGATGAGGGATAGAGATGCAAGTGCCAAGGCACAGAAGATGAGGCACCTCTATGTGGTAAGGGACGGCCACTTGTTTATAAAGCGGCAGGTCGGGAACCCCAGGAGGATCGTATGTGGGAGAGACCGACAAATTGATATCATAGCGGCCCTACACGATGGTATAGCAGGGGGGCACAGAGGGGTAAGTGCCACATGCGCGAAGATAAGCGAGCTCTACCATTGGGACGGGATGCTGACGATGGTTATCAAATACTGCCGGTCCTGTATACCTTGTCAAGAGAGGTCAACGCAAAGGCCTGGAGAACCCCTACATCCAAGGTTAGAAAGGGAAGTGGGTGCGGTCGTACACCTGGACCTGTTATTCATGCCAGCAAGGGAGAATGGGTGTAACTACATCTTCGATGCATGGGATAACCTTACTGGGTTTGTGGACGGACGAGCTATCCGAACGAAGACAGACCCGGTTTTGGCGAACTGCATCGAGGAGTATTACCTACGACACCCTTTCGTCAGGGAGTTCGTGATGGATCGACGATCAGAGTTTACCTGCAATGAGGTGAAGACGTTGCTTGCAGGGTATGGCGTAGTGGCCAACTATACTACGGCCGCACACCCTCAAGGGAACGCTCCTGTGGAGAGAGGGCACAGTACCATCACGAATCTCCTGGCTAAGTGGACAGAGGGCAAGCCTGGTCAGTGGCCGAAGTTCCTACGCACAACTTTCTTCGTGGAGAATGTTACGGTAAAAAAGACTACCAAGTACGCGCCAGCCACGCTATGGTATGTGAGGCATGCCACCTTTCCCATATAAAGTTTTACGAAGACATGGAGGCGCAAGGACTTGGAGGTAAACCTGTCTTTCGAAGAACTGCTCGATATTCGGGCATGGCAAGTGGGGGCGGCCGAAGAAAGATTGCGAGAGGCCGCTGGTCAGGTGGAAAGGAGTCGCATGGAAGATAAGATGAGGTGGGACTAGATGGCGCGAGTAAGAAAGGAGTCATTGGCAGTAGGGGATGTCGTATTATTATATGACTCCTCTTTGGAAAAGCAATGGTCGAGGAAGCTTGACAAGAGACGGTTGGGCCCCTATAAAATATTGCAATGCGGCGAATTTGGGGCCTATCAGATCGAGGAGCTGGACGGGACGGGCTGGCAGGATTGGGTATCAGGGACCAGGCTGAAGAAATTCGTGGCCAAGGAATAGGTAAAGAACTCTACCTTTCTCAGAGTAGACTGGTCCTTGAGGTATCGCATGTTATGGTCAGGACAGGTGAGGGAGTAGAGAAAGGCATGTGTGTTGTCATAAAAACTTGATGAACCGAGGGCTAACCTTGTTGTGTGCCTGCTTGCTTTCTCTCGCCTGTTGTGCAGGTCTGACTTTCCGAAGACAGCCATGCAGAGGGGCGGGAGGGGCGCGCGGCCACGACAGGGGCCTCAGGGAGCATCAGGAGGACTGACTCGCGCAGAACAGTTGGGAGGGAGTCTACTCCTATCTTCGACGACGGTAACATAGAGCTTTTTCTGGACTCCTACCAGACACATGCGACACGGGAGGGTTGGTCTACCTTGGAAGAGGATACGGCACCTGAGGGGAGTCGGGTGCTTCGAGGAGCCTATTGCGCACATTCGAGAGGAGGCGTTGACATGGCAGGATGTGGAGGCGAGGATGCAGATGCTGAGGGCTTCGCCGATGGGACCGGATGGATTGCGTATTCGATTGGAGGAACGCAATGCGGAGGAGTTTATCCCGGCCTATGAGCAGTATATGCGCGACCAGGGGACTGGGCAGGAGGAGTGGATGCAGATGTTGCCCCTCTAGACGCGGAGGGCGGAGAGATCGTTGGCGAAGCAGATCCGGGATAGGGCACGCGACTGGGAGGACTGCCAGGCCCAGTTGAGACAGGCATTTCGACGACTGGAGCCCGAGAGACCAGAGCCCAGGGTGGAGAGACGATAGAGGAGTAAGAGGCCACGGGGCCCAGAGGCGAGAGGGGCCACTACGACCAGAGGGGGCCGAAAGGCCTTGGCACAGCGAGATGGGCCAGCAGAGGCCGCCCAGGTGGTGGAGCCAGTTCAGGCCGCGGGGCCAGCTCAGGCGGTGGAGCTACCCCCTACCTATGGACTCGAGCAGGTGGAGTTTCACCGAATCACGGGCAGTGATCTACGGGGCCCGTCGCTGACGTTACCAGAGGGGGGAGAGACAGTGTCGTTGAGGATGCCGCTCGACAGGTTGGAGGCTCATCTCGACGCGTCTCAGTGGGGGGCGTCACAGCTGGAAGCGGACGAGAGTGGACCGGCACGGTATGAGCCAGTAGAGGATGAGCCAGAGGAGGAACCACATGAGCCGGGGCCAGAGACGGGGTCTCGCGAACCCGAGGAGTCGCAGACTGAGGGGGTTATCACTGTTGAAAATGATACCCCTCCTCCTGCCCCGATTCCGGAACAGGCACGGCAGTATTGGCCTGAAGGAATTCCTGAGCCGGACAGCGAGGAAATGTTGGGGCCTCCATCGGAAACTACTATGCCACCTCCGACGCAGGCGGAGCCAGAGGAGGGCGAGAGAGCGAGGACACCTACTACTATGGTACCACATCTAACTGAGCCTACAGGTGAACGCATGGATGTGGAGGTGCCGACACCCGGGGAGCCTCCGCCAAGGCCTCCACCCACAGAGGAGGGGAGTAGTGAGAGAGACCCACTCACTACGAGAGACCCATGAGATGCGGGCAAGGAGGCCATCAGGGGAGACGAAAGAAGAAAAGCGCGCGAGGGTACAGGTACGCCTCGAGGAGTTATACCAGGAAAAACTCAGGATGGAGGCCGCAGGAGAAGCGCCAAAGCCGCCAATTGACCTTCCGACGAGCGAGCAGAGGATTAGCGAGGCTTGGGCCAGCTATGAGGGTGAGAGAGATGCTGCTCGCCTGAGGTTACGGGAGGCAGGACAGGAGAATGTGAGGGTGGGCGAGGCACAAGAAACAGAGGACTTGGGATTTTCAGCCGCCAGGATGGAGATTGAGCGTGCAGATAAGAGGATAGGTGAGGTGGCGGTCTCGTCCTTCCAACGATACTCCATGCTCAGCGATGAGTTGGCGACCTCGAGGTTAGAAGTGGGACAGTTGTCCACCCAACTAGCAGAAGAGAGGGCAGAGAACCAGGCGTGGAGGACCCGCATGGAAGCCAAGGAGGCGGAGTGGGAGAAGAGGCTTCAGGACATGGCGGCGATGGTAGAGAGGCTCTCGGCCACTACGGTGGTCGACTGGACGGAGCAGAGCCGGTATGGTATTCAGGGGAAGGAGGTACAGGGGCTCTTTGGCCAGGAAGGAACGACGGAGACGCCACAACAGGAGGGAATGGGGAAGGTATTCCTGGACCCAACAGAGGCGGCAGCACGGCGGGAGACCGAGGAGGGGAGGTTCAGCTTCAGGACGCCCACAGAGTCGGCCTCGCAACAGGCCACCCCTATGACGATTGAGATCCCTGAGGGCGAGCTGGCGCAGGGACCCCAACCTCCAGTAAAGGAAGGGGGCCCCATAGAGGAGTCCCCTACGATCCTTTTGGAGGTGCAGGAGGGTGCCCTTACGGGAGCAGCAGCATCCACTGAGCCGGAGGCAATGGGGGGAGAGGCGTCTCGACTGGATGAGTTAGTGGCAGCTATGGAGCTGGACATGCCGTCAGGAGAGCCTCAGAGACAGGAGACCTCAGAGCGTGTACCATAGATAGGGGAGCTGAGGACGCAGTTAGGCTCTTGGGCTACTAGAGCCGACTCAGGAGAGCACAACTAAGAGCAGCAATAGGAAGTTATGAGCGAGTCAGCGACTGTCGTGACTCCCCAGCCTTCTGACCTACATAGGGACGAGGGGGCAAGTGCGATGGAAGGAGTCCGCGGGGGTAGGCCACTGAGATTGGACACTCCAGCGTACCGACCCGAGGGAGGTGAGGCGCTAGCAGGGCCGAGTACCCAGATGATGGAGGCGGGGCCGGCAAAGTCATGGAGTATGCCCCAGAGTCATGAGATGAACAGGGAAACTAGCAAGACGCCGTCGTTGCCTGAGTCCGAGAAGAAAAAGAGGAGGTGTCGAGGGAGATCAGACGATCAGTGCTTCTTCTGCAAGGACGGCGTACATAGAGCTCTTGAATGCCCGAAGTTCCTCAAGGATAAGGCGGCCGGGAGAGTAACAGAGAGTGGTGGAAGAATGTATGACAGGCAGGGACGAGTGGTAGAGAGGGCTCCAGATGGGGGTAGGGCACAGTTATACAGACAGAACCAGGAGGCTTTGAGTGAGTAGGGGCTGGTCTGTCTATATGACAATAGGATTAAGGCTCCTTTGTATGCAGAGGCCGTGATAGGGGTGTGCATATTCTGAGTTGGTCAGGCGAGTCCCGTCTAGTTGTATATATATAGGTGGCGGTGTGTGATCGGCATGAGCTTTATGTGTGATACGGTCTAGGGGATGAGACTTAGTTGTATGATATCTACGACATACGTGACTTGCATTTTCAGTTGTGTGATTCAGATAATCTTACTTGTACCTCTGAGTAGGTTCTGAGAGTCCATGACACTTGGGACGTGATTTTATCCTGTGGGGTGAGGCAGTAGAGTGAGTACTTGAGTGTTTTCGGGGCAGGCATTCTTGTTCCCAAATACACCCTACGAGTTGTGTGTTGAGGGTTTGAGTTGAGTGTCGTGTTGAGACTTGAGGGAGATATTTTGCTCCCGAGTATATTTTGATTCCACCCTCTGTGGGATTTACTCTTGGGACGGCCACGATCACTCTCACACGTGTGGTTTTATCCCAATGAATGAGGTCTTTGTGTGACAGATGTGTGGGATGCATCTCATGTATGTGTATTATGTGATTGTGATTGCCGTCTACTCTTTGGTATACTTGTGCGGCCTGCCCATGGGCTGGCGGAACGGCCGGGTATAAGAGGAGGCAGCGCGGTCGTTTTGTGACAGATGTATGAGGACCCTGAGGGGTCTTGCGAGCCTATAAGGCTCGGATGCTTACCATGCCGAATGTTTATGGCTGAGCTGTGAAAGGGGACCCATAAGCTGGCCCCTTAGTTTGAGTTGTTTTGCGTTTAAGTTGGGGAGGCGGCCCACAAGAAGGCTCCTCAGTTGAGTTGTTAATTGAGACCCCTCGGACTTGGGAAGGTGGGGAAGTTGTCTATTGACGGCAGTGTAACCCAGGTCACGTGATAGTCCATCCTGTATAGAGAGAGGTGGCTGGGAGGCCTGTTGAGAGAGACCCCCTTCATGTGAAAAATGGGTGATAGATTTAAGGACATGGTAAGCAATGTTTGAATGATAAAGTCTGACGAGAGGAACCAGGGTTACGAGTTGGAATCATGGGTGGAACTGAGAAGGTCGCAAGTCAGTGCATAAAGATGTCGTGGGATGTGTGGCCTGCTGTCTCTGATCAAGTCAGTAGGCCACGGCCTCGTGTGAGTCAAACGGTGAAATTGTTTCTGCTTGTGAGAAGGGGCCGTGCCCTCTATGTTGTCCCATAGGGGACTGGTAAATACCCTTAAAAGTGGGGCGGGTCCCTGCGTCGTCCCACAGTGGCCCTGTGAGTTGTTTTGCGACGCACCGCCTAGACACCTATGCTAATCCTAAGGCATTTTGAGAAATACCAAGCTAAACGGTAAAGGTTAGCACCTCTAGGGCGTAACCCCTATTGGATGGCTGCAAGCCAGCACAACCTGGCTGCGGGCCCACGCCTACCAACAGGGTAAAAGTTTAAGGGGTTATGCACGCCCCAGGGAAATTACTTCGTTGGGATGGCGGGGGATACGAGTCGAGTCGTTTGGGCGCCCTGATTGAATGCCTATCAGGAGAAAACCTATCGTTGCATAACCAACAAAGGGACTGCCGCTAAGACAACAATGCGGTAGGCCGTAGATCTGGCTCGATCAACCAGGCTATGGTGGGCCAGAATGAAGACCTAGCATTTTTGTACTAGACTGCAGAAAGAGCCGAGAGGAGATTTACGTGTATATATATATAGGCTTGATTGTGAGGACTTTCGCAAGGGCGGCGAGAGTGCCTTTTGAGGTCTCGTCTAAGGTCCGCGTCCCCGTATGACTCTGCTTACAAGAGAGAGTCTAACTGGGACACCCCAACGAAAAGTCGGCGTTCGTCTAGGACGAAGGGGGGGGGGACGGTTTGAGGTGGCCCTTGGAACTTATGCTGTAGTATTGATGCGTAATACACCTCCGTTCTAGAGTCAGGACAACGGAAACCCAGGTTGAAATCCTGGCAGCATATAGTTATGTTGGCATGGAATGTTGGAGGCCCCAACCCTCTGTCTGTCGGCTAATCGGAATTGGTTCCGCCCTCGTCAACATTTTGGAGTGTGAATGAATTTGTAGCCTTCTGATTTGGCGTAGTGACGGGGACGTCGCTTAATATAGTCTGGTAGGCTGTCGGCGCGAATACCCTTACAAGGGTATCCGCAATGGTTTTTGTAAATGATAGAAAAAAGAAAAAAAATGGGTTTGGTCGGTATAAGTCGGGCGAGGTACGGCCGCGTCCGGGACCCGTCCTGACTAAGCTAGAAGGTATGTGGGCGCGCAGTTTTAAGGCGCGCGTGTGATTTTTCTGGTTAAGGGAGCGGCCGGTCTAGTCCACCGACCTGGGCCGTGCTGCGGTTTTTGTTTAGGGGATTAAAGACGTTCTTGGGTGGTGTGCGAGGCCGACGGTAGGGATGACGCGCCGGTAGGTGCGCCGGTTGGCCGCGATGGGGTCTAAGTAGGCTGGCATGAGTGTCGGGCGTTCGCGCGCCGGTTGAAGGTGGGAAAGGAGGGCCTAGGCTGTTTTTCCCAGGCCTGGGCACGGTGCGGCACCACTTCATATTGAAGCTCGCGCTTTGCTGTACTAGGCTTGCGCTTAGCCCTATAGGTTACGGCGTTGGGCTACTACTACAGGGACTCAGGGATCGAGGCCAGGAGGCGTCAGTGCAGCAGCGGCGGAGCATCATGGCGGGAATTGAGGGGGTTGAGGGCTCGACGAGGCTATCCCCCTTCAGTTTTGTTGGTGGGTGCTACAACGGACCCGACCTACGGAACCGGTAGGGTGTTAGCAGTCCCACTCCGTCTTTAGGATCTTTTACATATATATGTATAAGTTATTTTACGTTATTTTTTTTGTTTTGTTTCTTTATTTCTATTTATTGTTCTCATTATTATCCACGGTCCCGTTCTGATTCAAGGGGCGCGGTATCACGGCTGGCGGTCCGAACTTGGAAGAGCCACGGGTGGGGTACCACCTCGATTTGGTCCTCGAGGCATTCGGTAGTCCCCGGCGGGGAGGGTGAGGAGAGGATCTGGTCGCGGGTCCCGCCCGGGTTAGGCGAGGCCAGGAGCGAGTGGCGGGGCTGGCCAGCCGGCGTAGCACGGTTAGGGGAGGGGTGATAGTGTAGCGGAGTGGCGGGCGTCGTGGGAAGCAAACGGACTCGGGCTCGGTATTGCGCCGAGGGTACCCGGTGGCAAAAGGGGGGCCAGAGGGACAGTGCGCGCAGCACCGGGATCGTGGGGACAGACAGGTCGGGCGGAGCCCAGCGGGTGCGACAGGGTACTAAGCCCGGGCGGCAGTTTTGACTGGGCCACGGCGGCAGAGACGAGCGGAGGCGACAGCAGCGAGCTGGTTGGAGAGTGGCGGAGCTCGTTGTGCAGGAAGAGGGTCTGGCCTCGGGTCACGCCGGGTTCAAGCGAGAGCGGTAGTGAAAAGGGGAGCTGGCCAGCGGGCGCGGTCCTTTTGCGGGGGCGGATGGATAAAGTTGGGGAGGCCGATACCCGGGTGTTTGACTACGACATTTGAGTACTGCCCGACCGATTGCTCGGCGCTCGGGGCACCGGTGGTTGGGCAGCGAGGAGTTGAGGTTGACGACAACCAGGAGGGGAGATGAATCGGGGCGCATTTTTGCGCGGAATTCGTTAGGAGAAATGACGATGGAAGGATGAGTCGGACGGAGCCCAAAGGTTGCAGCGCCCTCGATCCTAAACAGAATCGAGAGGGGAGAGAGGCGAGGTGGGGGTTTTCGAACGAGGCGACATCGATAATAATGATACTTTTACTGATATGTTAGTTAGTTAGGCAGTTAGTAGGATTGAACCTGCGCGGAGTCATAACGAAGTGGGAGGAGCGGTCGAGGCGACTGGAAATTTTGCGTGTCGAAAGGTTTCGACAGTCGGGGCAGTCAATAGAGATGTGGCTTGCGCTAAATGCTATCGGGAAAGGGGTGAACCCGGGTGCGGATATAGGTAAGGTGCACGTGGAGTAGAGGGTGGTGGAAGAGGCATTGGGGAAGGCCACGGGGGTAGCGGAGCAGTAACGGGGGCGGGCGAACGGGGATGGTACCTGGCGCAGGGCATACAAGGGGCCATGACGAGTGACAGCGTAGGCAGCGGGCACGAACGGGGTGAGAAAGCGAGCGCTGGCGGATGGTTGCTCGRCRCYGACCAGAGGCAACGAAGGGGGTAGGATGTGCCTGGGCAGGTAGTCGCGGTAGGTACATCCGTGAGAGAGGGGGCTGGGCGAAGGTAGTGACGGGGCGGAGTGCTAAGGAAAAGAAGCGAGGCGGAGTAAGGAGCAACCGGCAGTGATACGAGACTGAATGTGCATGCCAGGTGTGCACAGACAGAGGAGGGGAGGTT